AAAAAAAAAAAAAAAAAAGGAAAGAAATAAAGTGGATAAAGTCACCCAGAAATGTGAAAAGTTAGAGGAAGGCACAAAGAGCTCTGAAGAATTCAATAATTTATGAGATATGTAGTAACAGAGGGTCTGTAACAAACCAAACATTATACCTAATACAGGAAGTCTGGGATATTATAAGTAAAAATCACGACAATAAACCTCTTTTAAAAAAGAAGACAGGGCCTGGTGTGGTGGCTCATGCCTGTAATCCTAGTTCTCTGGGAGGCTGAAGTGGGTGGATCACCTGAGTTCACGAATTTGAGGACAGCCAAACCAAGAGCCAAACCCCATCTCTAAAGATAGGTTGGCATTGTGGCAGGCGCCTGTATTCCCAGCTACTGAAGAGTCTGAAGCAAAAGGATCACTTGAACCCAAGAGTTTGAAGTTGCTGTGAGCTATGACACCACAGCACTCTACCAAGGGTGATAAAGTGAGATTGTCTCAGAAGTAAATAAGAATTAAAAAAAAAAGACAGACTAGTTAGGTGGTGCACATCACATCACCGTACCCCTACCCTACACAAAAACACAAGAAGTAATAGTTCTGACTCTGAAAGATAAAGTAACTTACCTGAGGTTATTCAGTGGTAAGTTAGGGCCTAAGTTCAGGGTAGTGTTTTCTGTACGAGTGTGAAGCCATCCCATTTTTCCCCCATTAACATAACCTAGCTGCTTAAGAACACACCCAAGTCTCTGCACCTCTGTTCTGATGTTGTCTCTCCCACACAAATTACTCAATCCAGTCCATTACTAGTTTAGATTTCAGGGGAGTTTATTTGAAAAAAATTAAGTAATCACAAGTCCCCTCCCCCCATGCCATTTTCTACCCCTCCACCCCTAAACAGAGGGCCTATCTCTATCATATGTAGGTAGGATGAGAAAGGAGGTGTGGTCCCACTGTGCAAGTTATTCTCCAGCCTTTAGCATGTGCTGTCCTAGTCCTGAGTCCCTCTTTGACCACAGCAACTTGTTCATAGAGCAGTGGTGCCACCCTTGGAGCACTTCAGGTGAAGTACCATCTCCTGAGTTCACTGATCACATTCCAGTCACTGTTACCAATATATGAGTTATCAGTAGTGGTCAAAGGTAGACCAGAGGCACAGGCTATTGAGGGAATACTTTTTACTGGAGAGGGTTCTAGGAATGACACAGAATGCTCAGTTTGTTAAGGTGCTGAACTACAAGATAAAAAGAGTTGGGAAGGTGTCTACTAGAAAGCAAGCAAGCTACAATCTGAGGGACTTCTGGAAAGCTATGATAAAAAAGTCCACAATAGGAAGTCTGCTCACATCATTTCAACGACAAAGAAAAAGTTTAGAGCTTAGTCTCTGAATTACTCAAGCTCTGAAATCAAAGGTATCCCTAACTAGAGACAAGCTTCTTTAACTCCTTGTGGAGACTGAATGAAATGTTTATCACTAGTCAGGTGTGGCAGCTCACATCTGTAATCCTAGCACTTTGGGAGGCTGAGGCAAGTGGATTGCTTGAGCTCTTAATTTGAGACCAGCCTGTGCAAGAATGAGATAGCATCTCTATTAAAAAAATATATAAATGTTTATCACTGTCTTTTTGCTCTAACTCTTCTCTCACTAAATAACATTCTAATGTGAAATCTGGTTTCCTCAATGGATATCACCATTATAAAAAGAAGGTCCATTATGGGCAAGTGAACAATTTAAGTATGGCGTATAAACCACTTTCCTGTAAAGGGGTTAGCCAAAACCTGGGATGAGATGAGAAATCTGACTTTCCAAATCTACTGAGAAGCCCATATCCTTAATATATCTGCCCTCTTGGCATGATTACAAGATCCAGGACTCAAATGCCATAGTAGTAAGGGAGAAGTATCCATCAGCAAAAGTGGTTATCTAGTCCTAAAAGTTAAAGTATACAGCCTTGGCAGTCACTTGTAAGTCCAGTGGGCTGTAGCCCAGCCCTGGCCCTTGCACAGGTCCCTATGGCGAAGGAAACAGGCATGGACTCGAAACCGACGGCCACAATGGGGACAGGCATGCAGAGCTCCAGCATGGGTCTTCATATGTTCTGTCAAATGGTGCTTCAGTTTGAAGCGCTTGTTGCAGATGCCACAGCCAAAAGGCCGAAGGCTGAAGGTCAGCATGATATGCCGGTCACGCTTTGGCTTCACTGCAAATCGCTTCCCACACAAGCAACCAAAGAGTTTTCCATCTGCAGGGGGTGTTCCCCCTAGCTTCACAGGTCCATGCACAGCCTGCCCAGTTCCCCCAGGTCCTCCACCACCTGACAGGATTTCATTCCCATGAAGATCCACGGGTTTCCATGATGGCCCTCCACCCCCAGATGTTGCCCCTGCCCCTGAGGGCAACAAGAACCCTAGCTCCCCATTCCCTTCAGTGTCCCCTCCAGGAAACACTTTGGTCTCCTCCTTTGCTCCTCCAGACTGAGTTCCACCTCCTGATATCTCCTCCTTAGATTCTAAGGGTTCCTGTTTAATGTAGAAAACTTTGGGGGGCAATGCAGCAGGAGGGGTAGGAAGCTCAAGTGATGCACTCTCACTCTCTGGAAGTCTGAGGGGAGTAACAGATATGGGTAGTGGGTGGGATCCAGCAGGATGGGTTAAACTTCCTGATACCCTCTGAGACTGAGGAGTCTGAGAAAGTACAGCTGACCCCTGATCCTCCTCTTCTTCTTCCTCCTCTTCTTCTTCCACTTGAATTTGTAACACTTCTCCCAGTTCACTCCCCTCCCCTCCCACAGGGCTTTCAGTGGAAGCACAGTACTGCACTGGGGTCTGGAAAGAAGAGCGAATGCACCAACTTCTTGGAGAGGATGTGGTGGAAGTGGAGGAAAGAAGTGTGTGGTAGGAGGTTGCTCCCCGGGATGAAATTCCACCACCTGAACTTTCCAGTTCTCTAAGAATCTCTGAACACTGATCTACTACTTGCCACATCTGAAGGCCACTGGCCACAAGGAGATGGGCAGGGAGAGCATCCAGTGGCAGGCGGAGACGCCCTGAATAAATAAGCTGCAGCAGCCCCTCAAAGGCATCGGCTTCAATGACACTGGGCAGGGTGAGACGAGGAGCATCTCCCAAAAGTAGCTTGTCATGGAAGTATGGAGAGGCAGCAGCCAACACTGCTTTGTGAGCCCTAAGTTCCCTGCCCTGCACCAGGAGTGATACATCACAGAACTTTCCTTCTAGCCTGTGGCGGTTCAGGGATTCCAGCAGCGATGAGCTATGCTGCGGGAACTCGATCTGGATTGTCCGTGGGGCTGGGTTGCAGATCGGGGAGGAGGGTACAGAAGGCAAATGAGTCGAGGTATCCATGGCCTCTTCGCAAAGAGAGATCCCAGTGGGTCTGGAGGAGGAAACGGGGGTTTAGGGTTAGACTCCACGTGAGATGAATGCTGTAGAGGAAAGAGATGAAGGTCACAGAAGCCCTGGATAATGGAGGAACCACGTCCCTCCAAACCACTTCCCTCCCCAACATTTGGAAATTTTTCAGTCAGTAGTGGTTTCTGCAGATTAGTCCCGCCCACCAAGAAAACAAAAGCAACAAAACACCAACCGAGGATTTAACTTCCAGATGCTATGTAAGATGTTGAAGAGGTCCTTCAGCTACGAGTCTGACCCTGCTGGCCTAGAAATGCTCCTGCCCGCCGCTCCGCTTCGCCTTACAGTGACCACAGAAGCCAGCTCCCAGGAAGCCGCGGCTACTGGGATTCCCCGAGTCCGGGCCTGGCTGCCCGCCCTGCCGACACGCCCCCGCGGTTACACAAGCGGCGCTGGCCTAGCCTCACCTCTGCCGCCAAAGCGCCGTCCCGAACCGGAAGTCACCACCTCCCGCCGGACGCCCACGCCGGGTGCGCGAGGCGTAGGTAGGGCCGCAGCCAGTCCAGGAGCGAGAATCTACAAGCTTCGTGATGATTGGTTACGCAGAAGAGGAGGGCGGTGCTAGTAGGAGGCCCGTGCCACCTTACCCCAAGCTTTCGGGGTAGCAAGTAGAGCTGCAGAGGTTCCCGCGGCTGCGGAGAGTCGGGAGCTGAGGCGCTGGAAAGCACAACCTGGACGGAGAGGGCAGACCGTCAGCGGTTCCGGCCGTTTCCCGGTGACTAAATGTAGCGCTCGCCCCCCGGTAGGTACGGAGAAGGGCGAAATTACTTGGGTACCATGTGGGTTGGTCAGTTGCCCACATCACCTTGTGTACTCCGACCACCACGCAGGGTAGAGGTGGCCGTCCTCAAGTTTCCATGCAGGGGAAACTAAGTCACTCAACTGGCAGGTAGTGGGCCTACGACTGGAAGTCTGCTTTAAGGAACCAGGTTCTTTCTTAAAGCTCCACATGGGAGCAGTTTAACCAACAGTTAGGCAAATAAACCTTATTTCTAGTTTTTATAAAACGATATGGGGGAGTAGGGGAATGAGCAAGTGGGAGGAGAGGAGTGTGGGGGATGGGGGGTCAAGGTGTATGGCACACCTCTTGGGGGCGGGGCACAGTTATAAGTGGGATTTTAACAAATATAATCAGTTTGACCTAATTTTTTTGTACCCTCAACAAATACCAAACAATAAAAAAAAATATGTATTTTATCCGATAACGCCGCTGCTCCTGTTCTCTTTGTTCCTTCGGACTAGGTGAAGCAGTGGATGAGGAGAGAGCTACGCCGGGAAGCCTAGCCAGTGCAAATTAACCCTATTCTAAAATAGAGTAAATCTCACGGGAGAGTGACATTCTATTAGGAGAGTATGACATCAGGCAGAAATGTACGATGTGTCTCTTAGGCTGTCAGCTTTCTCTCAAAAAGTAAATCCCATTACCCCTGGTGGTTTGTCTGGACATTCCAGCCTTAAAAAGTCAGCGATAAAAGAACAATCTCCGTTTATTAAACATGATTTTTCTGTTTCACCACACACTCCAGAAAAAAAGGAAATGAAGTTGGGAGGGAAAAGGGACAATGGTAAGGGATAGAGAAGGCTGGGAGTGGGATGGGGAGGGAAAACGAGAAAACAAAATAAAACAGGTAGGAAGAGCATCTCCCTACCCTTTAAGGTGGTGGGTGAGGAGGGAAGCAGAGGGGCGGGGAGGGGAGGGGGCCAGGAAGCTCTGTACAGAGAGGTTGCCTCCAGCCCACACACACACACCCCGGATATGTACAGTACAAACCCCAGATAATTACAACAGCGAAAGAAGAGAAAAAGGGGTGGAAAGTCCAGGGGTAGGGCCTGAGGTGAGGAAAGCAAAGGAAAGGGCACAGGGATAAAATTTCACATATTTACAACTTTTATATAAGTATAAATTTGGCCCCGGCTGGGTGTACGTGTAGGGAGATGGGACTGAAGGGGAACTGTCCATACAAAAGAAAGAAGGGTGGAGTCTGGGAAGTCTCAATACCAAACGCAAGAAGAGATGAAAGGGCAAGGCTGGGTAGAGGACAGCAGTCAGGGAAGGGGGGGGTGCCAAGGAGGGGCTTCTCCTCCCCTCCATAGCCTCCCCACCCCAAACCCCATCCATCTTACCTCCCCTATCCCGCCAGAGAACTATATACAGAGAAACACCGAAAAAATTGTGGAAGCTGGCGGGAGGGAGGGAGGTGGAGGGAGATTGGGGGTGGGGAGTAGGATGAGAGGGAAGCCCAGCCCGGTCCTACCTCCCCCGGGGGACAGAGTCATGGAAGGGGGCCCCTCCCAACACCCCTCCTCCAACACAGGTCCCCCCACCCTGGGGGAGAGAGACATGGCTTTTCCTAGAGTAAGTTCCCCCCTCCCCCTGGGAGTAGAGACCAAGAAGAGAGAGGAGAGGGGCAGGAAGGGCTTGTGTTGTCAGGGTAGGGCAGATCAACTAGTCTGTCCTCCCCAAGATACACACCCTCCAAACCCTAACCCCTCACTCTAACCTCAATTCCACCCCACCCAACACACTGGGGGAGGGGGGGGCATAAGCCCCCTCACCCCGCTCTGGGACCAGCCAAGAGCAGATCAGGTGTGGGAAGAAGGGGAGACAACTCCCATTCTCCCCTTGCCGCCCCCTCCCTGCCCCGGTGGCCCCCTCCACCCCATTAGGTTCTGGGTGGGGAGGGAATAAATTTAAGAGTGGTAGGAAAAGGAGTTTGTGCGTGCTGAGCCCCCCCAGACGCTCCTGAGAAATCAAGGGATAATAGGGCCCCCTCAACCCGGGGTCCCCTCCCCATAACAAGGGGGGCAGGGGAAGCCTAAATGGGGCGGTGGAGGAGAGTTAGATTGTCAGCTCTGGTTACTGCTAAAAAATCACCCTGAAGTTGAAAGTTTGGAGGTGCCACACCCCCAAGGTGGGGGTGAGGGTCTGTCCCCCAGTGCTCAGGGGAACGATGAGGCAGAGGATGGGGATAGCACCCCGGAGTGAAGGGGTCTGTGTGGGGTAGGCGGTGTCCTGGAGCAAGGATCCCTGGGGGTCTAGGAGGGGGCAGCACCCCGACAGGTAGGAAAAGGGGGCAGCTGAGGGTCCCCACTCTCCCTCCTGGAAATGGTGCAGTGGGGGTGGGGGATCAGTGCTCCCTAAGGAGGCATTCAGGGAGGCAATCCCACTGTCCCTCGGTGATGTCCAGTCCTGGTGGTTGGTGCTGTTACAGGGCAGGGTGCACAGGGAAGGAGAAAGTCTGTGATGTTGGGTGGGCTAGTGGTCTGCGGTGTTTCGGAACTCGCCGTTCTCCGTGATCTGCAGCCGGGGTGGGGGGGGTGGGGCTGGGGGGGCCAGGCCGTTCCACGGTGGGGCCAGCGTCACACGCGGGTTTGTTGGACCCAAGGGGGGAAGCTGCCTCTCCTGCAAAACACCAAAGAGGAGAGCGCGGACTTATTGAGACGCTTCAAGGGAACCTGGATGCCAAGCCCCCAGGCAATGGTCTCCACTACAGCCAGCCCATTCTACAAGCCATGTCCCATCCCCTCCTCCCAGGACAATCCCCACCATTCCCCTGTTTTGTTGCTCACCTGCAGAAGTTACATCCTCTGGGATCAGGGAGAAGAGAATCTCACCCCCAGACTCCTTTTAACCCAATGTCACGCCAGGAAACCAGCTCAAAAGCAAGTTCCTACCTCACCCCCAACCTAATCCCTCTAGCTTACCTACATATCCCCTGCCCAGCCCGCCCTCCTCCTCTTAGAACCCCCTCCCACCCACCCCCAATCTGATGTAGGAACTTGGTGTTGAGGAACAAGGGGAGGCAGTACAGCAAAACCTCATTAATCCAAACCCCTGTGGATTTGGAACTTTTTCATAATTTGAACAAAAACTGGGCTTGAGATTTCCTTTATCTGTGAAGAAAGGGTGTGCTAAGTAAATTAGTGGTGGAAATGTGTCTGTAGGAGGGGATATTTAACCTATACCAGAAAACAGACTTTTCAATCCTATCTATTCATTAATGCATGCTCCCTGAGGACCTGAGTGGAAAAAGCGTTGTTCATTGAGTTCTACTTACTGTATATATTTTGAAGACATGCATTTCATTAAATAGACACTGTCATTCAGTTTTGTCACTTATTCACAGTGGCCATCTTCTCAAATATAACATTTCCAAATTAGAGAGGTTTAACTGTACTGGGGGGAAAGGAAGGGGATTCAGGGTAGTGATGTGGGAAAGGAAAAATCTTGTGGGAGGCTGCCTCTCTCTCACACTTATGGTAGAAATGACTAGGAGCTTCTGCAGACACAGCATGCCCTAATCTCTGCATCTCTGGGAAGCAGAAACTGGCTTTATTCTCTTCCACCCCTGCCTTCCTTTCAGTCCCCTCTCCCTGGGTGAGAGAAGGTGAGGGGTACCAGACCCTACTCCCACCCATGGTCCTACTCTCATCATCTCCTATTGCCACTCCTGGACCAAACTGCTGGATCCTGCCCTAGTCCTACCCTCTATTCCTCTGCTAGAAAAAAGTAAGTTATCCGAACTTCCCTCCATTTCTGGTCACTCATTTGGCTTTTCAAAATTTAGGCTCAGGGCAGGCACAGTGGCTCATGTCTATAATCCTAGCTCTTGGGAGGCCCACAGCTAGGAGGGCCCCTTGAGGTCAGGAGTTCAAAACCAGTCTGAGCAACAGTGAGATCCCCATCTCTACTAAAAATAGCAAAAATTAGCTGGTGTTGTGCCGATGCCTGTAGTCCCAGTTACTTGGGAGGCTGAGACAGAAGGATCCCTTAAGCCCAGTAGTATGAGGCTGCTGTGAGCTAGACTGATGCCATGGCACTCTAGGCTGGGGCAACAGGTGAGATTCTGTCTCAAAGAAAAAAACAAAAACAAAAACAACTTAGGCTCACAGCTAATTTATAAATTAATGGCTGAGTTGCAGGGGGACCAACACCCGGTTTAGAACAAATGTCCAAATTATTTCCTGGGCTACAGGGCATTTAGATCTGGGAATGTGGCTATGTCTGACAGCTCCAAAGGATACAAAAATGTTCTAAGTAAGGACTGCCAGATTTGTATTCCTTTCTATCCCAGGATTAAGAGCTCACGTCACCTAAACCTCAGACTTAAACAAAGCTGCTTGCTGGGTATCACATAACTTTTTGCAAGTCAATGAGAGAGGCAATTTTGAATGGTAGGGTATCCTGAGTACAGCAGAGAAAGGAACCCCCAGATTCCCTTCTCTCTGCTTGTCTGCTGGCAACAGCACACAGGCATGCCCCCTACATC